TGTGAATAAAAGTGGAAGCACGGCCACAGAGAGTTGGGAAATTTCTCTGGACTTGACTTCAGWTAAGTACTCTGAATTTTCTCCCTTTGCAAAGTGTTTTGTTGAACTATTACTGGTCTCTGATGTCTTTGTTAATGTCTGGTTGGGTTGTTGTGTTTTAAAAGTCTCAGTTTCAGGTAAAAATACCGGACAGATGTTGACCAAGGTATGGGAAMCCTGCAAGAGGAACCTTTTGGGTTTATTATTTCCCATCTTTTATAAAACTGAGTTGTAGTGTGAAGGAGTTTGTGCTGCAGATACAGTAACTGTCAGTCTCTCACCCTGCTCTCGTTAAAGCCCCTCTCTCGGACCGCCAGGCTCTTCCAGAAGAGAAGCACGTGGTCTTTCTCTGTCAAAATTTTCAAAGCTTCTGGGGCTGGAAGAGAAACTGCAACAGAAGAAAATTATGTCTAATTAAAGAATTTCTTCTGTAGTTCTGGGTGGGTTTTTTTTCCAAGTTTTAGGAAGTTTTTAGGAAGTTTTCCCTCAACAGTGAACAACAGGTGTTAAAGAAGAAAATCAACCTTAAACAAAAGAGGTGGTCTCAAGTTTCAGCTTTCTAAAACTTGGAGCATTAGATCTGATATCCAGTTTTTTTCAATTTTCAACTTTTTTCACTCGGTGCAAGCAACCAAAACATTTTTCTTATGAGCCAGGCAAACAAAGACCCTTGCATCTGTCTGGTGAAAGGGGAGAGACATTACCTTGCTTGTGAATCTAGCTGCATAAATGGAGCATCTTCATGCAGTTTAAAGCTTGGAATGCCAAGGATTATAGTTTCACCAAAAAATTCAAATAAGTGATGTGTGACGGAAATGTTTTACACACAATTTCTAACAACCATTTGAAAGTCAAACTTCCGGACACAATCAATGTTTTTTTAAAGTTTCTCATTGTTTGCTGTCTTGAAAGGCAAACAATAGTGTAATCATGTGTGTTTCTTTTTTATTGGAACTCAGCTGAGTCAACCCTAACACACATATTAAGGGCTAATAGATCCCACATATTTATTAAAAAATACTGAGCAAGACAGGGAGATATGTACAGGTCCTTCTCAAAAAATTAGCATATTGTGATAAAGTTCATTATTTTCTGTAATGTACTGATAAACATTAAACTTTCATATATTTTAGATTCATTGCACACCAACTGAAGTAGTTCAAGCCTTTTCTTGTTTTAATATTGATGATTTTGGCAAAAACATAAAGAAAAATAAAAAAAATCCCTATCTCAAAAAATTAGCACATTTAATCCGACCAATAAAAG